GCCCTAGCTAGGGCTTGAGCAGGGAGGGGGACGATCCTAATTAAGGCTGCTGGGGGAATTTCCTCTTCGGAACAAGCCGTCCTGGGTTAGCGATGTCCTCGCTCGTAGCGCGGTCCACCTCTCCGAATTGGTTGGGCTAAAAATATTCGAGTCGTCGATCCGAGCAGCCATTGACCACTTTCAACTCCCTATAAAAAACACCTCCACTTCAATGAGCAATGGTGAACTAAAGCAAAATCTGCATATTTCAATAAGCGACATGCCTAGCTTTCACACAACATCAAATAGAGAAATGAAACACAAGAGCATACAAGTTTATGAATCTACCATTTTTTAGCTTTGCACTTCCTCCCATCCTGTCCACTTGATCGCTCTGCGCAAATCTAGTGCTAACATCAGGACTCCCTCTCTAGATGCTAGTTGATCTCCTTCATGAACAGAGCCTTGACAAAAGGCCGACACCACACAACAAGTTCTTCGCAGGATCGACGAAGGATATTGCTGGGATGGCACAAAAGTCTACAGAGAGTTAAAGACAACATCTTTTCGCACCTTCTGAAGGTTCTAGAGGATCGGGGTGATCTCCACCTCCCATATTCGGCTTGGCAGGACCGCGGGAGGCTTTAGGTCCTAGATCGAGAAACGCTCAGCTAAAATTGAGACGTACGAGAGGGACCAGACCATGGTGGAAATGCTATAGACCGACCATGCATGGTAGAATTGAGACGTATGAGAGGGACCAGACCACTGGAATCTTCATAGTGAAATCCATGTATCTGGATATTCTTAATTTGGTTCTTTCCCAAGATCTTTACATATCTGGAAAGTCAAGGTGCCTTTAATAACCAAAGTTCTCATGTGGTTTGTCCATAAGGAAGTGATCCCGACTAAGGACAATTTGGCAAAACGGAATTGGGAAGGTTCAAGGAGATGTAGTTTATGCGACCGTGACGAATCTATCAAGCACCTCTTTCTCGAGTGTCCGGTCGCAAAAGTTTTATGGCGGTCAATACATAAGCGTTTGATATTGCTCCTCTAAATAGCATTCACATGTTATTTGGAACGTGGCTAAATGGAGTAGAGGCAGAGACAGCGAAACATATCCATGTAGGAGTATGTGCTTTATTATGGGCTATATGGAATTGCAGGAATGATTTGGTTTTTAACAGGATGACAAATATCCACTTTTTGCAGGTTATCTTCAGGGCCACTACTTTAATCCGTATGTGGTCGCTACTCACTCCGACGGAGGCTAGAGAGCGTTTGGTTACTGGATCTACCCGTTGGGAGATGGTAGCTCGGGCTATCTTCAACCGGTTTGGATGGCGGTCATGTAATAGGATAGGCGTTTAGTTGCCTATTTCTGCCTATACTCCGCAAACCTAATCTTTGGAGAATTACCATTTCCGAGTATGAACCAATGCAATTAATTGCACTCATTAGTTTGTACTTGCCATGAATTTCACATGAGTTTCTAAAGTCGTCCTGGGGATGTGGCCATGTGGGTGCGTTGGCTGATGAATCAGATGTGAGTCGTGATGTCAATGGTGGTAGGCCATAATCGTAGCAGTAATATTTCCAGTATGATATTCAATTCAATTACACTTGATTGTGCCAATTATCTCAAGGCATTAACTTTGCTTCACATAATCACATTCCAGAAGGACCACATCTGGACTGAGGCGGACGACATACTGCTGATCGACGCGCACAAAATCCACGGAAACCATTGGTCGACGATCGCGAGGTGCTTCCCCGGCTGGTGGGAGAACGCCATCAAGAACCACTGGAACACGACAAAGCGGAGCCTCAAGTCGAAGCGCTGGCTAAAGAAGAAGACAAGCCAACAAGCCGCACTGGCTTTTTCCCGCCGGTTGTGGCTACCCTTCTCTTATCTTTAGCTCCGTGAGAGCCTTTTTGTGTTCAAGACTTTGTTGCACGCTTATTTTTTATTAATAAATGGCCACATGCATCGTTCAGATGCAGAGGCCGGGGACAGTCCTCCTTTCGTAAAAAAAACTGAGGGTAGCGCTGTCAGCAAGTACACTATCACAACCTTGTTGCTTTGCTTGTTCGTAACACTTATAATGTGGCTCTAAACTCTAGGCATGGCCCCTGGCTCGAACACAAGGCAATGCACAAGGCAATGCACTTTCAACGTAATTTGTGAAAGCGTAATGCAAACCGTAACATATTCATAATGAGATATTTTAAGATGCCCCTCTTCCCTTCTAAAAGGTAAGGCGAGAATTTGATCCTAGCCGTTGATTGATCAAGGGTATATTTGTCTATATAAATGTGGTAATTGTAGCAGTATTGGAAATAAATATTGTTAACATATTTAAGATTTACTCCTTATAATTCCATATATACTATGCAAGTTTTTCTTATCAAGGATATACCATCACACACTATCTCATATACTGAAATATGCTACATTTTCCAGACATGAAAGATTGGAACAACTATATTTGTGTATTGTTGTCACGAAAAGTCCAAACTAACGTATTTAAAAATGTTTGCAAATATAGTTTTGTAGTACGCTTAGCCAATTGACTTCCACCAAGTAGGAGAGAATATTGATCCTTATCGGCAGACGAAAGCTCCACACAATGCATGCCAATTTATTAATCAGTTGACATTCCAGGCTACCAACTATAACACGGATGTCTGCTTCATTGGAAGACACAAGCGCATCCGATGTAACCTAGATGCCATCAAGCTTAGATTTAGTGACACATGAGAGGCGAGGATGAAGGGGAAGGCGGTACTGGTATAGACAGCTGTTACTGAAGCATTCCGCCTGGTGAGAAAAGGGAGTTGGAGCTTAGGCAGAGAGGACCCATGCAGCCGACTATCCACCCAGAACATGGTGGCCACACCATTCTGAACATAGCACTTAGTCAAGGCACAATTAGGTGGGATGCAAGTCAACACAATTTTCTCAGGGAATGATGATGTCGAAGGGGTGTCATTGAAATCTCTCAAGTCATGGAACCAAAACAATTATTTCGGTGGTACCCTACTCAGTTGGGGAAACTTATGAATGAAATTGAGGAGACATTTATTTTGCCGCCAAAGATCCCTCCTGTTTAGACAATGAAGCTTTGTCCTGAGCAATTAAATAGTGTGCATCGAAATAAGTCTCCTTCCCGATCTAAAAGGAAGTACGTCGCCTCTTATATATGGCATGTACTAAACCATGGGGAAGAATGAAAGAGCTCCTAAAATATGCATGGCGCATGGTATTGTCCTACACTAAACGACCGCGAGGGGACATCTTGAGAGAGTTCCAACTTGAGATGTAATGACCGAATCAATTGATAACAGGACCAAAGGCAGATACAGGAATTTAGTAGGGGAGAGTCACAGGCCGAGATGCGGTTGAGGGATGGTGGAGACTGGGAAACTGAGGGTAGCAACCATCGAAGAAGCATCATCCCATATTTAAATTCCGTCCACATGCGGCTGCTCAGAAAGAGACAACAAACATTGATGAATCACTTGGATCAAACAACAAAGAATAGTAGATTAAAGTCCAAGTGTAATAAAACATAAAGTTAGGTGGAATCAGAGGCACAAAATGATGGTAATGATGCACATAAAAAATGTGGTAAACATAAGGCAGAGTGCCAAACTTCTCTGATATATGAAGAGTAAAGCTTTATCCGATGAAATATCATAAGGCCTGTATAGCCTTCTTACACTGACTTTTGTTGATTCCAGATTAGCTTTATGAGATCCAGTAGCAGCATTGACACTCTGCAAACGACATACCACATAGGGCTTTAGGCCCACATTTCTTCCAGACCTGTAGGTCCCACGACCCTCGACGGGATAGATAAACTCAGGCTTGATATATAGGAAGTCGTGAACATTGTATGTGACATTCTTGAGGACAAAGCTGATCTCTCAGAGTATTTTGAACTCGTCACGAACCACTTCTCGCTCCTCACAAGAACTGCAAGCTCCAGTTCCGGCGCCCATTTTCGAATGTGAGTGCCCCACCAACAGCAACACTAAGATCTCCAACTCTCACACTTCTGTACGGAGCTTCTCCAGATGGTGTTTTCCCAACTGTTTGACCTTCACATTCTATTTCTTCACAAGCATATGATGATGTATTTCTAGACCGTGTTGATGCCGAGGTCCTCGAAACATGTTCCTCACCAACTTGAGCCTTCCCCTCAACATCATCTTCTTCATTTTCCTCCTGTTCCTCCTCAAATACCTTTTACTCATCATTCTCATCCCCCACCTTTGAATCCTCTGGGAAATGGGTTGCATAGCAATCACCAAATATACTGCTGACCAACTTTGTGGTTGTCGCACGCATAAGATTTCATTTGATATTGGGGCCATTTTTGCACTTGGGTTCAGGTTCTCTCCTCTCACCACTTGAGATTTATTCTTCATTGCTAGCTTTGTGTGCCCTCTTTCTTCAAACTTGTTGACAAGGCCTATGACGAAGGTGCACCATCGAATGGACTCATCTCGATAATTTGCGAACTGTTGAAGGACTATCTGTCCATGCACCACAACATATCTTCCAACAAGTGTTGCATCCATTGAAATGAATGCATGGTGCTCTCTCTAAAATTCTGCTACTCTCTTGGTAACATCGGTGAAAGAAAGTTTTGAAGCATGAGTTTGTTCTTTTAAGATGGCGATGATATATACTGACAGCCAATCTTGCTGGTTAAAGGACAATGTCACACCATGACGCATACTACTTTGTTGGCTGGAGTAACTTGTACCTAACATCATTGAAATTCATATGCAAGTTAGAGGGAGGTTTAATATCAAGGAATCACAAGGTTTCATGCATAAATAGAATGCAAATTTCAAAATATGATAAGATCTGAAATGCAAGGAAAGCAATTGTAGAATGTATTCATATAGTATACATAATGAATTAGAGCTGCAGGAGTACTTGCCAAGCTATATATGTTGGTTCGAATAGATATGTAGATCATCGAGCCACGAAATTCTATAAGACATTACTTGATTGGACTTAGATAAATTGGAATCCCTTGATCTTCCTGGTCAGATTTACTCGAGGAAGAAGATAACTCCGCTGGCTCAGCTGTTGAACAGAAAGTACCATCATCGTCTCTCATACAACTAGACCCAAAGATGACAGTATCATTTACAACACCTGGTTTAACAGGGATGAGCCCCAAAGACATGAATCTGGAATCTGAATTATATAGTGCCCAATTGTTGAGTACTCTTACTGGCAGCATGCCATCTTCACTGTCAATCATGTACTCATCCATTTTTATATTGCATGGTGTATAGTATGATGGCAATGGGTAGTCATTGGCAATCTCAGCTTGACTGATCTTGATGTAGGCATTTTTAATTTTCTATGAACTTCCACTCTTGGCTCTCAGCTTCTTTATTTTTCACTCTTCCTCTCCTTGCAACAACCTTGCTAGTTTCTCTTCTTCATCCTCGTTCTTGGTCATTCACCTGCACCTCCTTGCACCACCCATCCTTGATCGTCAGAGTTCCATGTGAGGCCAAAGATGCCGGCTTGCTGAATCCCATGCTAGATTTACACTCATTTGTTAGTGCCACAAGAGCAAGTAGTGTCGACAACATCTCATCATTGTTGTTTGCTGCATGATCCACTGCAGTGAGCTAGTTATGTACGAACTCACCGATGGATACCACATAGTCCTTTCTCACTATTCAATTGAAGCCACAACTCGAATTAATGGAACAGACAACACCAATAAGCAGGTCTTCTAGGCTTAGCAAAGGGTTGCCGCTGACCAATCTAGCTAGCTTCATGTCTTCATGTAAACTTCAACACAAACATGAGCTTTCTGGCTGAAAAGGTCAAAATAAGACCTGTAGCTTCTTGTGGACTTCACACATATATAGTCAGCTAGTTCTATTGAGAGCGAAATTACCACAACGCCTTCCTTATAGCCGGAAATTTCCGTCCCTTGATTCACTCAAATCTAATACATCGTATTCCCCTTTTCCTGTCCTTTTTGATATGACCATCAAATGGCATGACAAGAGCTGTCATGGAGACACCATCACTCTGAGACATTTCTAACGGTTGCAGATTATCATCTTTACCATGTAGGATGAAATTGATGAGTTTTCTACAGCATTTCTTATCTTCAGGTCCTGTACTTGTCAATCTAACTGCCTCTCTTTCCTCCTCAATTATGATTTCCTTGGTTGTGACAAGTGAATCTTCTTCAGATAAGTCAAATGCCTTCTCATTGAAATTCGAACAACCAACTTCTCTCTTTGGTCTCTTGCAAACAATGGCATCGTGACTAATGTTGGTGGTAACATTGCTCTCCTCAATTATATTCTCATTGTCGCTTTTAGGCTTTGTTTGGCGCCTCTTTGTTCCTAAAAGTGACAGAAATGTTGGACACATTTTTTGATAGAAATGTTAAACACATTTTTCAACAAAAATGTTGGACACACCGAAAGAACTGAATGCAGTGCAATTATGTATGCATGAGATGAATCCCATATATAAAAATATTAACATGGCGGTTTAACTACTCATTCTTTGATCGACTCAATATGATTACTAGATCGCAACGCGCCTCGGCGCGAGGGTGCCAGTCCAACCGATATGGCCAAGCAGTGGAAGGTCAAACTGCATTATGCATTAGTAGAAAGGCAAGTTTAACACATGTACAGGACAACTTAATCAGGATGGAATAAAAAAAAGTTCAATGATCAAACCCCTGATATAACTCTTTTCCGATTAACATATGATATTACTCTATATCTCAGGATAGAAATATATCTGATATTACTCAAAGAGTAGGTGTTGGTAGATACTCACAACAGTAATCACCCTGTAAAATATCTAAAAAATGGCCCTATCTACATGCCATCAGCGCATTTGTTATAAAATGTGACATGAAATACCTAAGCAAGGTTTGGTATGATAGAAACCAAAAGCAGGCCATAGCAGTATTAGTCTCAGATAACTTATTTACACTGTTTTTCGTAGTGCATAATAGTAAACTACATGGTTGACTGTTAGATATATAACTTTGTCCACACGCCTTCATCCGATTTGCTTGATATATAACTTTGTCCACACTCCTTCATTTGATTTGCTTGCATGTTGCAATGCATGGATCTGCTAAAGGACATGTCATGTTAGGCAAACTATTCAAATAGTGCGTCTCATTAACAGCGAGGAACTAATTTGGTCTGTATGAAAGAGAATCACTTCGGATAATATTAAGTGATCTGGATACAATGTAGCCTCTTTAACATAAAAGAATATAAAAAATGAAATTAAATTTATTTTATCTTAGTATTCTACAAGGCACCCAGAAAACATAATAAGCCTACTATACATAGATATCCTCCAAGATTTTCTTTAGGCACAAAACTTGATTACACTATGATCTCATCTTATTATGTGCCTAGTTATTTAACACTGACAAACATGATTGATCTAGTAAAGATGCACAATTTCAGCCAAGATTAATGTTGCAAGGTAATTGTCTCGGCACCAAAGCAGTTTTTTGGCACAAAGCTCTGATACAAAAAGGGAAAGGGATAATCACAAGTGCACATCCTTCTATCTAAGGTCACATACAACAACAATTTGAACATGTACTATTAGGAAATTGAAACCTCTCTTCAGTGTATATTTACTTAGAAAGATTCTCTCTAAAATAAACCAACATCACTTATCCAGTATTTATTTAGAAAGATTTTCTCTAAAATAAGCCAACATCATTCATCAAGGCCACCCAGTTCGGCGGTAAAACCAGAGGAGAGAAAGAGGAAAAAAAGACACGTATATTTATTATATTTATAATATGTACATATATACTGAGAAGAAACAAGAGCTCCGAGTTGAGGTTCTTCTTCTCTGCACCCGCCCGCACGCACAGCAAATAAAATCATTATTTTCACTAAGATCTCACAAGGGAACATGAAAAACTATCAGGTACCAGCAAATAAATAAAAGAGATCTCCCTGACCAAGCCCACACTCTCACTCTCTC